TATGTTTTCTCTGTTTTGGAAGGATGATCATTTTTAAATAATATCCTATTTATTGCATCAAAATGTCTTAATAGCCTACTTTACTATTGTTAGGGGTGGATCATTTTATTGCTTATTATTCATGCACCGATACATATTACTGTTATAGATTTTATTAATGCCCATTGCTTTATAGCTGAAAACTTTGTCTATTGCTCTTATGAATGTTTTTAGCATGATTTGTGAAAATTTAACTACTATACTGAATGACATAGCATAGACTTCTTCATGGCTAGTGTTAGCATATTTAATTTCAATCTGTAACCTACTTGTTCTACAAATCTGTGTTTCTAATGATATATGCTACTGTTTTTGACAGTGTCGATAACGTTTCTGACAGAGATAATATCATGATTTTTTTTGCGCTTCCCTTACCGAATGTGCTATCCTGTCAGCTATAACCTGTCCATGGGCTTTTTTGATTACTGTCACTTTAAGTGCCGGCAATGCAGTATTGCCAGATATTGCTATTAAAATAAACAGAAACTGAAAAATAAATAAAAATAAACAGAAATTATTTCAAATCTTTTACAAGTAAGATAAGAAAAAGATATCACTGACCCTAAACTGAAACATCCTACTTTATTAACTTTCTAAAGTGCCAACTTAAGTGGAAAAGACAAGTCCAAAAATGCTTATAATAGCTATTATAATTAGTGCTTGGAGGATGCCTCCTCCTTTTGTGCTCCTTTATTGTGTGGGGTCCCTCAGGGATCTATTTTGGGTCCCCTTCTGTTTACTATCTACATGTTACCCCTGAGTCAAATTATGCGCAGATATGATATTGAGTTCCACTGCTATGCAGATGATACACAATTGTATGTCCCAGTAAAGCCTGGTATTATTGATACATCCCATATTATGTCATGCTTCATCGAAATCAAAAATTGGATGTCTAAAAATTTTCTGCAGTTGAATGACTTCATCAGAAGTGCTTATGCGTCCCTCTACTAACTTTACATATTTCACATACTTTTGAAAATCCAGCATCTAGTTGATCCTGATAAGCGCTCATCGTCACAGTTGTAAATACAACGGCTTTCTTCTTCAATGAGGGGGTTTGGCATCAAGGCATCTTTGTTTCATGGCGTTAAATAATGTGGCAAACACGTCTCCCAGAAATACTGTATAATTTAATCCTATGACAACTTCGAAAGTGCTGAAGCTTTTCCAATTTTGTGTGCCGTATGCATCAGACGTTCAGCCAACAGTCCGTGTCCGTGACGTCTGAGACTGAGACTCTGTGCCCTCTAACCTCTTTATTAGGCTGCTGACTTCCTGTGTCAACTGCTGTAGTTCAGTCCCCCAAACCCAACTATCATGCACACAAGCTGAAGTTATCAGAGAAAACGGCTCCATCTAGCATCGGGGAGCAAATTTTCTGCATTCCTATGGAGTGCATATGGAAATATGGAGTGAGGCTGGGACTCCTTTCGAAGAGAGAGTGTTTTCCAAAGGCTTGCACTCTGGTTGTACCAGCTGGATGTAAAAAAAGTTTGTTGTAAGCCCTATGCTTACTCTTCGCTTGATAGTTACATCATCTGTAGCTGCAACTAGTCATGGTGTCAACACTGACACATTCTATGTAAATGATAAATATGTAAATAATGTGTTGATTGCTTCTCAACAACAAAATAAACACAAAGAAATGACAGCAGTGAGAAAACAGTAGTTAAGAAAGCATTGTAGCGTCGTCATGTCGATATGTTTGCATGAGCTCTGCAATCGACCGTTCGCAAAGACCTGCCCTCCTTAGTTGCTGTTGCTATTTCCGACAAGCCATACCACTTTCACACTACACATCATGTTCTCACGCAGATAAAAATACATCACGGAGCAAAGAGGAAACTGACAACACACCGACAAAAAAGACAGCAGATTACTTCTGGTATGAAACAAGGTCTCAGGACTCTCAGCTTTCACATTTTGCCATTTTTAAAGAAATTCAAACAATAAATACCGTTTTGTGTCTCTTCAATGTATTGTGAAAGATTGCTGTATCGCCTCAATACAGCAATTCAAGCAGCACACGTGAACCGATCGTCTTTTCATATTTACTTAAAGCACGAAATAAACATGAATGAACATCAGAACGTATTTTATTTTTTAAGTTTAATCCACCAAAGTTAATCTACTCTCATGTCTGATTTGAGGTTAATGCTAGAAGCTGCGGCTACTGGGCATGCGCACATAAATATAGTGCAATTTTTGTCAGACTGTACAACAATAATTACTGTTTTTGCATTATTGTTTAGGGTTGGGGTAGGTGTAGACGTTAATAAAACACGATCTAATAGGCAGAACATTTCCTTTATTTTTAGTTTCCAGACGTAGCTGTTGGACAAGTTGGTGGATTCGGCATTATGATTGGTCAGATTGCCTGTCAATCAAGCTTTGCAAAAGGTCAATTCGGCACTCAAGCCGAGTTATGTCATGTTTATGTATAAAGCATTTTATACAATATTTTGCTTTAAAGGCACTGTAACAAAGTTCTTAGTCACGGGAAGAAGGAGGCAGGAACCGGCAAACATTTAAACACTTTAATAAAATAAACAAACACAAAATGAAAGTAAAGCGACACAATTACACTATGTACACGGTCCGTGTCACTAGTTAAAATTGCTTATTTCTCTGGATTTGAACATTCTTCGAAAAATTTGGGATAATGTAAGTACACAAGTCAGCAAAATATATAACACTGTTCTACTGGTTTTTGGATATTTTAATAAAACAAATCTTACATATTGTGCCTTTAACGAAAGCAGCTCTACTGTAATAAACATGAAACAAAACTATCAGGTTGACATTCTACTATACATCAGTTATCTAGTTTTTAAAAAAAAATTTTTTACTTGTGGACATCTGATCTTGATGGGCTGAACAGAGGAAATGAGTTCTCCACACACACACACACACACACACATAAACACTTTAATAAAATAAACAAACACAAAATGAAAGTAAAGCGACACAATTACACTATGTACACGGTCCGTGTCACTAGTTAAAATTGCTTATTTCTCTGGATTTGAACATTCTTCGAAAAATTTAGGATAATGTAAGTACACAAGTCAGCAAAATATATAACACTGTTCTACTGGTTTTTGGATATTTTAATAAAACAAATCTTACATATTGTGCCTTTAACGAAAGCAGCTCTACTGTAATAAACATGAAACAAAACTATCAGGTTGACATTCTACTATACATCAGTTATCTAGTTTTTAAAAAAAAATTTTTTACTTGTGGACATCTGATCTTGATGGGCTGAACAGAGGAAATGAGTTCTACACACACACACACACACACCAGCTAAAAAAATTATCTTTTGCTGTAGTGTGTCTGCAGGAAATATCAGTTTACATTTCCAAACATTCATTTAGCCATTAATTGTAACAATCCAGTGAGATTTTTGTCTGACAGCAGCCAGTGCTCCACACAGAGATCTGCTCTGATCATCAACCAGTCTGTCTGGAGTCACATGAAGAAACAGAACAAACTGAGACAGACTCAATCCAGAAGAACTGTGGCAACGTCTCAAAGACGCTTCAAGAAACCTACCTGCAAAGCTATCAAAAGTAATATCATGAATAGATTTTATTTAGGCCTATCAATTATCTTCTAATAACTAAATTATATCAGCATTTAGTGTGACCATCCTTTGCATTTAAAGCAGCTTTTGCCCTAGGTGCACTTGAGCATAGTTTTTCAGGGAGCTTTGCGGGTAGGTCAGGAGTAGCATTTGTGGGACTTGCCTCCCCCCAAAACGAGTAACTGTGCCTCCTTTCTCATTCTCTCCCCTCCCTGCTGAACATGATTGGAAAAATCCCAAAAAACCAGAGTACATACGAAAGCAATTGAGTGAGTGTCAGTAACTGCATGCGATTGCAGATTGCACGGCTCTGGCACTGTATTACAGACAGCCTAATTATTGTCAGCCAGTTCACCTTGTTTAGATTAGGGATGTAACAGTGCACATATTCATATTGAAATTTTTGGGTACAGGTCTTTCAGTTTAGTAAGCATGTGTACCTGATGAATGCAGTGCAATGCTAGATGAGGAGAAGGCGGAATGCTCTGAATGCCTGAGGCAGGAACTGCTGGTAAATTTTGACATCTCACCTGAGACTTATTGTCAATGCTTCAGAGCAACAACAACTCCAAATGCAGAAACCTCCACTGAAACTAACTAGTGTCTCAGGGCTCTCAACAGTCACTGGGTCCGGCCTGAAAAACACACCAAACAAAGGGATTGTTGAGGTGATTATCTATAAACAGCTGCTGAACTGCTCTGCGATGTCTGGACTTGGATGAAAGAACATGAACCAGTAGATGCCATGGAATTGGCAAGTGGCGAGGAAAAGCCACATCAGTACACAGCTTTCTGAACACCCCTGAGCATACCCTTTGGCCTTCATGGAGTTACTACTACTTTCCAGTGGTTTATGGACCGTGTTCTTCAGGGCTGAAATACTGGTTTGCTTCTCATTTGGATGATGTGGTTGTGTAGGCACTTTAGAAGTTGAAGATAGATCTTTGAACGATGTTGATAATTCTTGACTGGGGGCACAAATCGAAGCCTATAACAGCAATGAAAGTAATGTCTCAGTATGGCCTAAGCAATAATATTTGTGGCAGTAATTTTTATTACCTTTGTTTGTTGTGGAATGTTGCAGATTACACCAGAATTTAGATCTGTTTTGTTCTCTTATTCTGCAGAAGTGAAATGACAGACAGATTTAAATTACTGAATTGCATGAAACTTCGTCAAAAGTTCTCCAACATCCCTCCAGCTAAGAGGTATGTCACAACGGGCAGAATTATGCCATTTAAATAAGAATATGAGCAAATAATCTTATCTAAGGAATAATATGCAGTGACCAGGTTTTGTATCAGCTTCTTTCTTTCTTTTTTATACATAAACAGTGTAGTAATGTCTCTTCCTTTCCCTCAGTATTGATATGACGAATCTCATTGGGTATCTCTCAGCATTCATGAGCTGTCCACATGTGTCCAATAGAACCCAAAAGGAGCTAAACAGGTGTGTGGCGAAACAGACAATTAAAGTAAATATGACTGTTGCTGGTGCATAAGTGTATTATGTCCAATTCTGCTTATGGAGGCCCAGACGTCCAGGCAGGTGTGTTGATAAACAGATAAACTAACCCTCCAGAAGCAGGACTGGACACCTAATGTGCAGTAACATGAGACATGCAGTAAAATCATCCAATGCAGACAATAAAAACAGTAAAATTATCTACCATAGATGTCACATTAACATATCAACTTCTGCATATAGAGACAACGAGAAGCACAGGTTAAGGAACACTCCACTATTTTTGAAAATAGGGTCATTTTCCAACTCCCCTAGAGTTAAACAGTTGAGTTTTACCGTTTTCGAATCCATTCAGCCGATCTCCGGGTCTGGCGGTAGCACTTTTAGCTGCAGCTTAGCATAGATCATTGAATCTGATTAGACCGTTAGCATCTCGCTCAAAAATGACCAAAGAGTTTCTATATTTTTCCTATTTAAAACTTGACTCTTCTGTAGTTACATCGTGCAGCAGGCGCAATGATATTACGCAGCGCCTGAAAATAGGCTAACTTC